CGATTGCTCCATTATTATTATTATTATTATTATTATTATTATTATTATTATTATTATTATTATTATTATTATTCATGATAATACAGTTTCAGAGATTTAACTAAAGACTCTTAAGTTGCTTGAGTCGTTTATTATATTTTAATTTGAATTATTACAAAAATACCTCAGTTATTGCTATGGAGAACATTTTAATCGGTAAAAAACAAGAAAAAAAATGACAATTAGCACTCTATTGGAAGAATTGGACAAGACACTCTATTGCTTCAGTGGCAACGATCAACATAAATATTAGTATGACAAGGATTTTAGAATAAATAATTATAAGATAAAGTGCACAAATAGATATAATAGAAATCCAAAAGAAATGCATATAACAATGGCAAAGCACGACTTATAAACAATGTTCTAAACAGCGTAAAGATTTGATAGCCGTAAAGGTCAAATTTCAAATTTTACGAGCCTGGACGAGGTATAGAAGTAAAAAAAAACGTTTTCTTATTTCAATATTATATTAAATTTTTAACGATTCTAAAAAATCATTTAATAATTAAAATAATACATACCAAATATTTAAAATTATAAAATCCTCGCATATTTACTTAATAATTTCTACAATTAATCAATTATACAATTTTCAAGTTTTCTAAATGTAAAACTTAGATTACTTTTTATAGTTTCAACTTTCAGACAAGTGATCTCAAAATCATAAATACATAATATAGATAACACTGTAATTTAAAATCTTATCTAACTCTTTATTTGATAAAGTCATTAAAAACTTGAAATTAAAATCAAATAAAAGGCTTATTTTAAGAAGGAAAAGAAAAAAGAAAAAAAAAATTAATAAAGCGTGCCTTTAAAAAAAATAAAAATAAATAAAACCAAGGCACGCTTATTGTCGAGGCGTGACATTTCGTCTACACACCTAAACACGAACACTACTTATAATCAAACAGTGTCGCTAATGATTATAGGTCCTAAAGAAAGGGGAATTAAAAGGAATTACGTTCAACAAAGGAAGCATCATACAGAAATAGGGAAATAACTTTAGACAGATACTTTTAAAATTGGAACTTTTTTAAAAAATAGTATCAAAGTTAGGGGCTAATAATTTAGGAGTGGGCGTAATCTAGTTCGGCTCAATTTGAATTTTAAAAATGGAATCATTTATTTCATATCCAACTATAAAATCGAACCAATCTGTTCCGGTTCGATCAAGTCTAATCTTTTATATTGAAAAATTATAAATATTTATAAAGTAGGACACTAATTGTCAAATTGAAAATAAATAAAAATAAATTACGAAACCACTTGTCATTTTTGTAATGTAATAATACTAAAAATCAATTGAACTTTAATACTTACGAAAGATTTAACTAAAGTATATTTTTTCTTATTGAGGTTGCATTAAAGCTATGAATTTATAAAGTATTTATAAAATTATTTAGATTTAGATTTTGATTATCCATTAAGTTTTGTTATAAAGGAAAGAAGGAAAAGTTTGATTTGAGATAATTATGAGTATAATGTTCAAAGATATGGTGCATCTTAGTGCAATGCACCCAAAAAAAGAAAAACTCGGGAGAACCAAATCCATTATTGTTTCTCAAGGTAGTACCGAAAATCGGATCGAAACCAATCGATTCTCGATACATGATTTCAAAATCGACCTATTTAGTTGAGGAATTGAAACCTAACAGACTGGTTCAATCCGATTTCGAGTAACATATAATATTACTTTCCAATTTCAAAGTTATATGGTTTTGTGTCAACTTGATATTGATGTATATATGTCTGTATTTTTTTAATTTTTTTATGGTGAAAAAAAAAACAACTAATACATATAAAATAATCGAAATCGTTGCCCATACAATGCACATACAATGAATTTGAGGGGACATTATTTTTGTATTGGATAAGAATT